CCTTGTTGCTGAACAACATAATGACTTACGGATGAAAAACCATGAAAGTCAACCTACTGGTTCTATGCCATTTTCTGAAGTAAATACGATAAATTATTACCAATCTAGGCGTGAAAAAGGTCGTGGCCCCAATCGTGGCCATAGTCGTGGTCGAGGAAGAAATTTCAACCATGGTGATAGTCTTGCACTAAATAATAACCTTCAACACCAGCAGTGTAAAAAGTAGAATGGAAAACATGATGTAGTGCAGAAGAAAAATTCAGACAACAAATGTTATCGATGTGGAGGAAAAGGACATTGGTCACGTAACTGTCGTATGCCAAGACACCTGGTTGAGCTATATCAAGCTTTCCTGAAGGAGGTGGAAAATAACGTTGAATCAAACTTTATCTCGAAAGATACTGTTGAACCCATGGATCTAGATGTAGCGGATTTCTTTGAGAATCCCGAAGGAAAGATAGATCACCTGATAGGTGATAGATCTGTGATAATGTAAATATATTTCATTTTCGTCGTTTGTATGAACTAGTATGAATATGTTTTCCTAGACTTGTAAATAACTAAAAGGTTGTGTAATGTTTTTGTTTAGTAATAATATTATAATGTTTATTTCGTTTATATCTTTTATACTTAAGAGTATATGGATACCTCAATGATCAATCATGAAGATATTTGTGTAATTGATAGTGGAACAACGCACGCCATATTCAAAGATGAGAAATACTTCTCCTAATTGCTTAGAAGAAAAGTAAATGTTACTACAATTTCTAGTAATTCAAACTTAATTGAAAGCCGGAAGAGCTACTATATTTCTACCTAAGGGGACAAAACTCGTCATAGAAGATGCTTTATTCTCTTCTAAATCCCCAAGAAACCTGTTAAGTTTTAAAGATATTCGCCGAAATGGATATCATGTTGAGACAATAAATGAAATGAATGTTGAATACCTTGGTATTACCAAGATTGTCTCAGACCAGAAATAGGTGTTGGAGAAATTATCTACTTTATCTTCTGGCCTATATTATGCAAAAATAAGTACGATTGAAGCACACTCTATCGCAAACCAGAAGTTTACTGACTTAAAGACTTTTGTGCTTTACCGAATAGGCCATCCTGGATCAATAATGATGAGACGAATCATTGAAAACTCAAATTGACATCCATTAAAGAACCTGAAGATTCTTACAAATGATGAGTTTTCATGTGCTGCTTGTTGCCAAGGCAAATTGATTACTAGGCTATTATCATTGAAGGTTAACATTGAATCCCCTCAATTTTTAGAACGAATACATGGGGATGTTTGTGGACCTATTAACCCATCTAGTGGGTCGTTCAGATATTTTATGGTCCTAATAGACGCATCTTCAAGATGGTCTCATGTGTGCCTCTTATCATCTCGCAACCTCGCAACCTGGCATTTGCAAAATTATTGGCACAAATAATATGATTAAGAGCGCAATTTCCAGATTATCCCATTAAGACAATTCGCCTCGATAATTCTGGCAAATTCACATCCCAAGCTTTTGATACTTATTGCGTATCAGTAGGGATAAAAGTTCAACATCTTGTAGCTCATGTTCATACTCAAAATGGCCTTGCTGAGTCATTTATTAATCACTTACAATTCATAGCAAGACCTCTATTTATGAAAAGTGAGTTGCCTACTACTATTTGGGGTCATTCTATCTTACATGCAGCATTACTTGTTCGTCTCAGATCGACTCAGTATAATAAATACTCCCCATCACAATTGGTGTTTGGCCATGAACCAAATATTGCTCATCTTCGAATTTTTGGATGTGCTGTATATGTGCCTGTAGCACTACCTCAGCGCACCAAGATAGGCCCTTAAAGAAGGATAGGCATATATGTTGGGTTTGATTCACCCTCCATAATTCTCTACCTTTAGCCATTGATGGGAAATTTATTCACTGCAAGATTTGCAGATTGTCGATTTGATGAAACAAATTTTCCACAATTAGGGGGAGAGAAAAATAAAGTTAAAAGTGAAAATGCATGGAAAGTTTCATCATTATCTCATTTTGATCCACGCTCCCCTGTGTGTGAACAAGAGGTCCAGAAGATCATCCATTTTCAAAACATAGCAAATCAAATGCCAGATGCATTTATTGATTCAAAAAGGATAACAAAGTTGCATATTCCTGCAGTTAATGTGCCTAACCGAATCGACATCCCAAAAGGACCATCTACAAGTGTCGTAGCTTCTAAATCACAAATACGCCTGAAGCGTGGTAGACCATTGGGTTCAAAAGATAAAAATCCTAGAAAAAGAAGTACAAAAAATGACACTACAAAAGAATCTCATGAAGAAATTCAAGGTCTAATTAATCCTAATATTCCTGAAGAGATCAGTGAACCCGAGACTCAAGTAAATGAAAAACTATCAATCAGTTCTACAGGTGATGAGATAAGTTTAGATCGATCAAAAATCATAGTGGATAATGTTTTTGCATATGATGTTGCACTTAACGTTATGAAAGGAAATGAGGATCTTGAACCTCTATCTGTCGAAGAATGTCGACAAAGATGTGATTGGCCAAAATGGCAATAAGCGATTCAATCAGAATTAAATTCACTTGCTAAGCGTGAGGTTTTTGGACAAGTAGTCCAAATGCTTAGTGATGTTAAATTAATTGGCTATAAATAGGTCTTTGTACGAAAAAGAAATGAGAGAAATGAGCTTGTAAGATACAAGGCACACCTTGTTGCACAAGGATTCTCTCAACGACCCAGTGTCGACTATGAAGAAACATATTCACTTGTTATGGAGGCAATAACTTTTCGATATCTCATTGGTTTAGATGTACATGAAAATCTTGAAATTCATCTAATGGATGTGGTTACAACTTACCTTTATGGTTCACTTGATATTGAAATTTATATGAAAGTTTCGGAAGGACTTAAAATGCCTGAAACATATAGTTCAAAATCTCGGAAAATGTATTCAATCAGATTACAAAAGTTATTATATGGCTTAAAACAATCAGGGTGCATGTGGTATAATCGCCTCAGTGAGTACTTGATAAAACAAGGTTGTATAAACGATGCCATTTGTCCTTGTATATTTATTAAGAAAACAACATTGGAGTTTGTTATTCTTGCTATTTATGTTGATGACATTAATCTCATTGGAACTCCAGAAGAGGTTCAAAAGGCAATTGAATACCTAAAGAAAGAATTTGAGATGAAAGACCTTGAAAAGATAAAAATTTGTCTTGGACTACAAATAGAATATTTAGTAGACGGGGGTCTTCATCCATCAATCTGCCTATACTGAGAAAATCTTGAAACGATTTTACATGGACAAAGCACATCCATTAAGTACTCTAATGGTTGTTCGATCACTTGAATTGAGTAAGGATCCATTCCGACCTCAAGAAGAGAATGAGGAACTTCTTGGTCCAGAAGTACCTTATCTCAGTGCAATTGGGGCACTTATGTATCTTGCTAATGCTACGAGACCCGACATAGCATTTTCTGTTAATTTATTAGCAAGATATAGTTCTTCCCCTACACGAAGATATTGGAATGGAGTTAAACATATATTGCGATATCTAAGGAAACTAGCGATATGGGTCTGTTTTATTCTAACAAAGATAGTGCAGATCTTGTTGGTCATGCATATGCAGGTTATTTATCTAACCCACATAAAGCTCGATCACAAACAGGCTATCTGTTCACATACGGAGGTACTGCTATATCATGGCGATCTACGAAGCAGTCTATTGTCGCTACTTCTTCAAATCATGTTGAGAACATAGCCATTCATGAAGCAAGTAGAGAATGTGTATGGTTAAGATCAGTAATACATTTTATCAAAGAAAGATGTGGTTTGAAGTGTGACGTCAAGATACCCACAGTGCTCTTTGAAGACAATGTTGAATGCATAGCTCAATTAAGATGAGGCTTTATAAAAGGAGATAGAGTGAAACACATTTCACCAAAATTGTTCTTTACACATGATCTCCAAAAGAATGGTGATATTGATGTGCGACAAATTCGTTCAAGTGATAATCCAGCAGATTTATTTACCAAATCTTTACCAGCCTCAACTCTTGAGAAGATGATTCACAAAATGGGAATGCGAAAACTTAACCATCTGAATCGTAGTTTTTATCAGGGGGAGTAAAATACGCATGGTACTCTTTTTTCCTTAGTCTAGGTTTTATCCCACTGAATTTTCCTAGAAAGGTTTTTAATGAGGCAGCAAGTAATGCGTATTATGTATGTCTATATACTTACGTAGACATACAAGGGGGAGTGTTGTAAAATATGCCACGTGGGCCCCAAAAAGTGAATGAGTTGCATCACTTGTGCAACTTATCACTTGGCCAATAATGGCCAAAGGCATACATATGTGTAATAAACTCATGGCTATAAATAGCCATTGTACATATTGATACATATATACATTTTATGAAATATATTACTTCCTCAATTTTCCTTCTTTTAGTATATTAATTTTAGTAAGTTCTTTTATAACAGAAATAATAACTTGTCTAGTCGATAATATAAAATATAACCAGCTTAGACCCTTTCAAATAATTTTTACATTTACAAATTAAATTTAAAAAATTAGGGGTCGTTTGGTAGAGTGTATAAGAACAATGCAAAATAGGGTGTATTAGTAATACTTGCATTACTAGTGCTTGCATTAATAATACTTGCATTAGTTATGTCTGCATTATTTCTTATATACTGTTTGGTTTGATGAATTAGAAAAAACAAATCTTGCATAATTTCTATTTAAAAAGTGTATGTTTACAAAAATACCCTTTACTCTTTATTTCTTTATATACTTTCTTTGCAACAAGGTTCTTTGTTAAAACTTAAAAAAAAGATTTCTTTGCTAAAATATTATTCCTTCCTATTCTTCTTCTTTTTCAAATATAAAATTAAAAAGTTGTTACTACATTGAAATAAGATTAAAAAAGAAAAAGAAGAAGAAGATGTCAAACATCTTCACAATTTTGCCACCATAAGTCCAAAAGTTCAACTTATTCATATGCAAAGGTAGGGATCCTTAGTTTTCATCCAAGAAGCTGTATTTTCGCAGAACACCTAATCTTAAGACACACATACGATCTAATCAACTCGTCTGAGAGGGGGGGGGGGGATAAGTGCAGATACTGCTGCTGAGCGGGCAGAAGATGTTGCAAACCTTCCTGACAGAGAAGTGCTTGAAGATCCTAACGTGGTTTGTCGACCACCCTGTATAATTGGAAGATGCATATTTCTAGGTAAAAGTAGAATATCAATGTAAAATCATATTACTTCTTTGTTGCAGTAAACTATCATAAAAGAAATCATAAGGAGTCATTCAAAGTTTGCGTACCTCAGGGAGCAGATTGTTTGGTGATACTTGTCTGCTATTTTTGTTGGCCTCTTGTGGAGTCCTCAGATGAGACCAAGAAGGAGAAATCTGATAAGTAGGTAAAAACGAACCATACCCGCCAAATCACGACCCTGTAAATATATGCAAAGTCAACAATCATCAACTCATGGGATAAGCCTTGTCACTGTTAAAATCGCTTTGAAAATGTCCCAAAACATTGTAAAGTTTCTCATCTTTGACAGAGTAAGAGATAGATATATGAGAAACTGGAAGAGAGTTGCTATCAGAGGTCGTAATGCTGTTATCACTAATACACAACACCTGCCAGAATACTTACACCGACTCACTAACTAGCCCCTAAACAAACTCTAGATAGAGAAGTTATAAGCAAAAAATAGAATGAGAAAACACAGGGTTTCTCTAACATCACAGTATACTTGATAAGGCCTCTTATTAAAATTTGGTTTTATAGAATGAGAAAACGCAGGGTTTCTCGTTATCAAGTTTCTCTCGACATGATAAGGCCTCTTATTAAGATTTGATTTTATACAGTCAATTATATCAAGCAAACGGAGACATACACAACAAACAGTACATAGATTGATCAAACAACATATGCTACATGCTAGCAAACTAGAAAATCAAAAAATACACAAAATGAACCAATTGCAATTGAACTTAAAAGAAAAGTGGTTCAATCTCAATTGTAAATCCATAACAGTGATAATCAACACAACTAAACAAAAAATAAATAAATAAGAAAACTCACAAGGTAAGATAGAGAAACATCAAGGTCAATGGTTGAATCATTCTTCTTATAATTATCATAACTGTAAGCCTCTCCTTATTCAAGATCAGTTTCCTCCATCATTTCTATTCCACCATCAAACCCTAAACCTATCCCCTTCCTTCCATCTCTACTCCAACCAGAAATAATTCAAATAAATACTCCAATCCAACAAAAAAAAAACTAAAAATTCAAAGATTTTTCACTTTTCACACACCCAAAAACCTCTACAAAACTTCACACAAATTCCCCACCCATTCACCAATGTTCCAAATTTTCTCAACTTCACCAATCGAGATCGCAGAAAAACAACACAAATTCACCAACATCAGCTGACCTTTATCAACAAAAATTAAATTAAATTATTCAAAATCCAACAACAAAAATGATTAAATCAACAAAAAAACTGATATAGATTTAAAAAAAATGATAATTCAGATTATTCTGGAATGTTTAAGTTTGGATCGCCCCTACTAATGCTCAAAACTATGAGCAAAGAGAGAGAAAAAAAATGAAGAAAGAGATGTTGAAAAATACAGATTTTAATGAAAGATAAGAGTACTAACCTTATGAAGATGAGCAAACAATGTTTGATTGAGCAAAAGTAAGAAAAATCTACTCTTGAATTTTCATTGACAAAGTAAAGAGAAGATGAAACAAGTACTATGGAATTTTTTTTTAAAGAGCTTTGAGGGTATTTTTGTAATTGCATAATCTAATGCAAGTGTAAAAATGCTATGTATTAGTAATACCTAAAATTTCTTGGTATTAGTAATACACAACTTAATACACAATATTGTGTATAACTAATGCTTGCATTAGTTATACATGACCAAAAAAACGTAACAAACAATGTATTACTAATACACACACCTAATGCATGTATCATTTTTCCTAATACCCTTTACCAAACGACCCCTTAGTCTAGTACGTAAATAAAACTTAAAGGCGAATGTAAGGGCATTCCCTTTATTGTAACAAAATGAAATGGCAATTTAGTGCATCACATTCCCTTTATTTATTTCCTGTCATCTTTTTCTTATTATTACTCTCTCAGAATTTGGCGTTAATCTCAGGCTTCACACTCTCCTTTTTTAGATCCCTCTTCCATAATCTTCTTTCAGGTAACAAACATCGCTATGTTTTATCATTCAAAAATTCAAATTTATATTTCATTAATTGTATAAAAACTTATGTAATAACACTTTGTGTTTTTTTTAAAAAAAAATAATCAGTAGTTTTCTCTAAATTTGAGATAGCTTTTTTATTATTCTTATATATAGAAATTGTATTGTTAAAATAAAAAATTTTCTTTTGTTTTGGTTGAATTTTTTGGGCTACATTTATCGTTTTCTGCTATTTGCATTTGATTTTGAGGTTATTCAATCGCATTTTTTGTTTTATTTATGATCTGAATTTCTGTTGTTTTGTTATGATCTAAAGATCAAATCGTATTAACTTCGAATTTTGAATTTGAATCTTTGAATTTGATTTCTGGCAAATTGCTTTCTCATTCAGATCCATTTCATGATACGATGGATTTTGAAATAAATCAATACTTCCATTCCGTTTTATATGAGGATATTTCCAAGGGAATTGAGTTAAAGATGTTAAATTGAGTTATATATAATGGAAGAGAAATATTATAGTGATAGTCGAAGATTTAGTTTCATTGAAGAACATCATATAAGGATTGAAAGTTTCAATAGCTTAATGGATTTGAATGTGTTCTGCATTGACAGTTTGATGATTTTGTTTCAGTGTTAAGATTGACAATCATGTCTAATTGTTGTTGAAATAAGTAATATAGAGTAAGGATTGAGACACTTGTGAAGGAAAATATTTTCGGTGTAATTGAAGTTAGCTTTCTACTTTCTGTAACACAAAAAATCAGATAATGAATGTCATGAAAGTGTTTTCCTTTATGCAACACATACTAGTTCTGAGAATATTAAACATTCGAAAATAGACAGTTGTGATATAAATTGTGGAGTCGAGAGTACATACTATTTCATTACTTGTTTTTTGACTCATATATAGATTCGTTAATATATTTTATTATATCATTTAGTGCTCTTTTAACATAGGGATCACCAACAAGAAGGAGAAATGGGGATGTCATTCACCAAGCTTTTCAGTCGGCTTTTCGCCAAGAAAGAAATGCGAATTCTCATGGTTGGACTTGATGCAGCTGGTAAGACCACCATATTGTACAAGCTCAAGCTGGGCGAGATCGTTACTACTATTCCTACCATTGGTACGTACTTCACTTATATGCATATCTGTACTTACAAATTAACTGTTCAAACTATAGTTTATAACTTTCAAAAAATGCATCTAATGTACCTGTGATGAATATAGTATTGGAAGATAACATTAGAAATCCATAAATGTAAGCTATGGTTGGATTTTCTTCCTCAGAAGAGAATTCATTATGGGTGAATTATGAGTCTGCTAAAATGCTAGAATTTTAGATAAAATAATGTATCGATTTGAAGCTTAATTGAATGTTAGCATTCATTTTTTTATTGTTTGACTGGTTACAAAGGACATTACAGAAGTTACTTTTGAATTAAAATTATACTATTATCTTTTATCATAATATGTTGCTGTATATCATAAAAAGGATATTCATGGACGTCTGATGCAATAGAGTAGGGGTATGTATATAATCCTTTTATCATCTAAAATTCTATAGGGGGCTATTCTACGGCTTGACTTTCTATATTAAAAACTAAGAAAGGGGCTTTGATATGAAAGATTAAATTACATTATGCTAATTAATCTCTATTCTCTGCTCGATCAACATTTTATAATAGAATTAGGTTGATTTTTTCGTTTTCTTTTGGGATTACATGGCAGTAGGAAATTGTTTATGCTTTTCTAAACCAATATTTTGGTTTTAAGATGAGTAAGTTTTTCATAATTCTTAAGAAAACATTTCTATGAATGCACCAAAAGAGAGCCTTTAAAGTGAACTAAAGAAAGGAAGTATGTTATGTTTTTTCTATGCGCTTTTTTTCACAACCTTGTTGGAACTGTTGCGATGAATAGATAATCAGCTCTGTCTGAAGCTTACTCTAATCTCTGTAATTGTATACTTATAATATTACTGCTTGGATGCTGTCAATAATAATTGATAATTTGTAGGTTTCAATGTGGAGACTGTTGAGTACAAGAACATCAGCTTCACTGTTTGGGATGTCGGGGGTCAGGACAAGGTATAATTTTTTTTAGTGTAAGGAATATAAGTTAATTTTGAGTTTGTTATTTGTTTATGATAAACCGGGAGCAAGTCTTTATCTATGTTTGCTGACCTTAACTTTCCCCTTTCCTCGACTTATGTGCTTCATAGAATTAGGCCTTTGATTTAACTGTTTAAAGCACAACCACCATTTATTTTTTTCCAGATTCGTCCATTATGGAGGCACTATTTCCAGAACACTCAGGGTCTCATTTTCGTGGTTGATAGCAATGACAGAGATCGCGTTGTGGAGGCAAGAGATGAGTTGCATAGGATGTTAAATGAGGTAATAATTTTCACACCTTTTTTATATTGTTTTTAGTTTTCACGAAATGAGATTCAACTTTTAAAGCTTTAAGCTGCATGGCAAAAAAAAAGTCTGTGACTATTTTAAGTGAACAGTACTGAAATCTGCATTGTATACTAATTAGCTCTTCAAGCTGATACCCGAGCCATTGAACTAATCACAAGCATTTGCAATAGTCGTTTTCATCTAGAGTGATTACAACTTGTGGTTATGACACTGTATATCTGTCTACCAAAAGTCTCTCTTTCTTAAACTCCTCATACTAAGTTAAACCATCCATATAATTTTAAATGTAGGAAGTACTTTTTTCCCTCCATCTTGTCACATAATGCTTGGAAGAAATTATTAAAACTAAAATATGAATTATTTTTCCATTTTTGTTTTGTTCTTTTTTAAACTACAAAGCGATGACTCTTAATTTGCTGAAAATCCCTGAACATGGACTAATAATAAATCAAAACCATGGATGAGAAAAACAAAATACTTTTATCCCTCCCAATAATCTTGGATATAACTTCATTTTCAGATAAAAACAAATTGGATATAACTTAATTTTATGTAATTCAGAGTTCCTAAATGGAGCCTTGAGCATATTGGCAAATTCTTATTTGAAATGAATTTTGGCTAATGTGTGCTAATTTTTAACTTCCTTTATTTTGAGTAGCCCTAATTCAAAATCTTAGTTTGGTAATTTTCTTATCTCATTTGCCATAGCCATAAGCTAAAGTAGTTTCCATTAGGAGGAGTTAATGAGTTAGATTTAAACCTTACTGTAATCCTCATTAAGGAGTATGCCAAATGTCTGATACCATACACGAATAATCTATGTTATGTTATCAATTTCTATAGCGAAGATTTACAGTCAACAACAATGTCAATGGTATCGCAGCTTGAATAAAGATAAAAGAACTGTGCTTGCAAAGTAAAAGAAAACTGTATAACTCTTGTATAACTCTTGACTGTACTGACTGCACTAATTTTATTCAATTTTTTGGAGCTTTAAGTGGAGCCAAAGATGATGTTTCAGTGATTCAAAATTGTCAAACATTTTTCCTTGAACTTATGGAGTGTGTCATATCGTCCAATCATTTTGTCCCTCCGTCTTTGAAATGCTATTTAGGATGTTATTGTTAGTAAGATGAATGTCATAATTGGAACTATTCATCAACTTTGATCCATTGTTGAATGGGACAGTTGGTTATTTATGGTTTAACCGTTAGTAGGTGAAGTACCTGTAGGAGTTCAGGGAGAATAGCTCAAAGAGGAGATTTTACCATCTGCTTGTCATTTAATTAAAATAGTAGAGAGAACTGGCAATACTTCACTTTATGTTTGCACAGGTCAACGTGTCCATATATTGTTTCTTAGGAAAAGAACACATAAAAATAGTGAACGGTGAGTAGGAGCAGGGAGCTTCTACACTGAACCACAGTACCCAAATGCTTTTTCTGCTCATAGCTCATGCTTAATATGCTCATAGTTACATTAATTGTTAAATGACAAAGTGAAAGGATTTTGTTCTTAAGTTTGACTTAAACTTTGCCGACTGACCTGTGGAGTTTAATAGTCTTTACTCTCTGTTCTAGGACGAGCTTCGGGATGTTGTGCTTCTTGTTTTTGCTAACAAACAAGATCTTCCCAATGCAATGAATGCTGCCGAAATAACTGATAAGCTTGGACTGCACTCTCTTAGGCAGCGTCACTGGTAGGCACACTGGCTAGCAGTTGTGAAAGCTTCCCTGCTGGATGCACTAAATTTGGTCACGACTACTTTCAGGTACATTCAGAGCACCTGCGCAACATCAGGAGAGGGACTTTATGAGGGTCTTGATTGGTTGTCTAACAACATAGCTAACAAAGTACGAGTACACTTTTAATTGATTAAATTGGCCTTAGATCTTTTCCTTTGATGTTCAGATAAACTTTGTGCACTCGTTGTTTCTCTTGTCTTTGAATCCTCTTTTTATAGTCCTAAGGCAATGGAAGAGTTCTTGCGGGTTGATACTGGATGCAGGCAGGTTTTTATCTAGTTTCTTTTCCAAGTCAATGTGGTTATGAACATTGTCTTGAAAGTCATTTTGCATCTTGTTCGAACTTAATGAAGGCTTTGTAATACAAGGGTGGGATATGTATGTAATGTTGTTTGAGCCCTATGCAAGTGGAATTTAGTCAAATGAAGCTTGAACGCTTGAAGTCTTTGAGAAACTTCAGATCCTCAATAACATGAGAAGTAGAGAGTCTCAAAGGGTGAGATTTCAATAGAAGAATGGGGTTTGGAATTTAACTGCCATTCAACTAAGGACAAGTAGGAGACCCAATTAGATTGAGTATCAGTGCAAAAACATCTGAGATATGTCTCAAGACATCTATTTAAAACCTCGGATTGACCATCAGTTCAAGGATGATAAGATGTAGAAGTTTGCAAAGGAAACCCCTTGGACCTTTAAGAAAGCTTTCCAGAAAGTGCTAATGAAAATTGGATCCCATGGTAGTAAGGAAACCATGTTATTTGAAGATGTTATGCAAGAAAATTGGAACAAGTGATTGAACACTATAAAGTTAAGATAATGCAATGAAACGTCCTTACATGGTTAACATATCAACTATTACCCAAATTACTATTTACCTTTGGACTTAGGAAGGCCTTCAATAAAATCCATACAAATGTTAGTCCAAGGAAGGGATGGAACGGGTAAAGCTTGGAGCAAACCACGTGAAGATGATGTATCATACTTGTTCCTCTGGCACATAACACACTTCTTCATAAAGGAGCCTATGTCGTATCTAGATACCAATAAAAGTATGTTAAAAAATTTCTAGTAGTAGCATCAATACCTCTGAGTAACCACCTCTAGGAGTAGAATTCCATAAAGATAAGATCTTAGTCATAAGAGTACCATCCCTTCCAATAACCAATTTACCCTTTTTTCTTAGTTGATCAGAAAATCAGGTAATATGTTGTTGAGGTTGAACCTACAAAAATGAATCAGAGCATTAAATTTTGGATTAGCCAACCAGCTATCTTTGATTTCATCCAGTAAGTCGACCTAAACTTTGGACACCATTAGGGACATAATCTCAACACCTTGAATTCGAGATAATGCATCATCAACTAAATTTCCTTACCTTTATTATATTGGATCTAAAAAATCAAATGAAACAACATATCTAACCATCTAATTTGTGAGTCTGCAAAGTTTTTGTTCCAACAAATACTTCAAAGCTTTTTGATCTGTTTTTACAATAAAATGTTGTCCAAGCAAATAGTGAGACCACTTAGTTACAGCAAAAACCAAAGCTAGCAATTCCTTTTCATGCACGAATAACCCAACATGGCAACTAGAACGACCCTTGCTTATAAAAGCAATGCGGTGGTCATTTTGCATCAATACAACACCAATGCCAAAGCCACTGCATCTACCTCAACTAGGGGTACTAGGGGTGACAATTTCAGCCCATTTTGTTGTTGGAAAACAAAATAATTTAGGAATAGACTGGTGGAGGGGGTAATTTTTTTTAATCTTTTTTGTTTCCAAAAGCAAAAAAGAAATAATTAGTGGTCAATTGGTGGAAGGGGAAGGGTATTTTTTTTTTTGCAAAAACATAATTTTTTGTTCGGTAAAGGGTCAAAAATACCCTTGTATTATAAGAAATAGTTTATATATTCCCTTCGTTATATTTTTGGGCCAAATATACCCCTCCCGTTATACTTTGGGCCAAATAGATCCCTGATTTTACCGAAAGGACAATCGCTTGCATAGGAATCAAATAACTCACCCCCGATTTCAAATACTCAATTCCCTTTAGAAACCTACCCATTTAACCTATTCACAACCCATTTTCATAATCATCTTCTCCACTTGAAATATTCATTAAAATCAAAACCCTTAATCACTACGGAAAATTCAAGACCACAATGTAGGGGGTCATTTTTTCACCAAAAATATTTCTTGCAAAACCTCCTTCCTTTCAAGTTATTTCATCTCTTAAAAGATTAAATAGTTTATAATTATTGCAAGTTAGAATTCAAAATTTTAAGTTTGATTTAGCATGTACTTAATATCATTCAAGCAATGGGTCAATACTGATTGACATATTGGACAACACGAGAAACTGAACATAAATGTGTTATGATGTTTTATTAGAATTGTTTTTTTATTTCATGGGTATTCAATTGACAAACAATTTAGTAGCATTAGAAAATTAGGACAACAAATATTAAGGCATGATTGTGGATGGATTTTATGACCACAATGAGCAAGAATTATATAAGTGACAAAACTATGTGCTGGACCTTTCTTAGTTGAGTATTGATTTTAATGGAAGCTTTAGCTAGAGAAGATAATTATGCAATGGGTTTGGCTGAAATTGTGGATATTTAAATGGGTGGGTTTCTAAAGGGAATTGGGTATTTAAAATTGGAGGTAGGTTATTTGATTTAATCAGTAATATATTTGGCCCAAAGTATGACAGGAGGGATATATTTGGCCACAAAGTATAACGAAGGGTATATATGAACTACTTTCTATAGAACATGGCTATATTTGACCCTTTGCCTTTTTTTGTTTTTGAAATATATATATATATATATATATATATATATATATATATATATATATATATATATATATATATATATATATATATATATGTATATATATATATATATAAAGGGGTAGGGGTTGGTGGAAGGTATGTGTGTGTGGGGGGGGGGGGGAGATAGGGGCTATTTTTTTAATTTTCATATTTGCAAGATTATTTTTTTTTCCAAAAAACAAAAAATTTTAGGGGTAGGTTGGTGAAAGGTGAGGGTCGGGGGTGCCCCCGGGGTCGTGGTTATTTTTTTTTTGAAAAACTAAAAAGCTTTAGGGGTAGGTTGGTGGAAGGTGGGGGTGGGGGGTGCCCGGGGGAGGGGTAACTTTTTTTTTGATCTTTTTAAAAAAGGGTTGAAACAATTTTGCCCAAATAATATTTGACCAAACCCATATTTGCCCATATTCTATTTGGATGGATTGTAATCTAAACCATTTTTTCTCAATCGATATTCAACCCACTCAAATCGATCCAATCCAACCATTTGCTACCCCTAACCTCAACAACAAAGGGAATAGAGTAATCATGTAATGCAGTAAAAGAGCAGATGTCAGTGCTACCTTCAAGTTATTGAAAGTTTGAGTGGCATTGTCAGACCATATGAAGCTGTCCCTTTTTAAAAATTCAGTAAGTGAACTACTAAGTACAACATATCCTCTAATTATTTTCCAATAATACCATGCTAGGACTAAGAAACCTCTATGTTGTTTAAGGTTGCCAAGAGTAGGCAAGTGTTGCACAACTTGAATTTTCCTAGGATCAGTAGAAACACTATCACAAGATATGAAATAACCGCAATTCTCCACCTTAGGAATCCCAAAAACATATTTGGATTGTTTTGCCATAAATGTTGTTGCCACCGTGATATCAAAAACAATTTGTAGATGAGTAAGATGTTCTTGTAAGGACTTATGATAGATAAGAATGTCATAACAGAAAAGACCAAAACAAACAAACTCATAATCAAAATGTCATAACAAAAAAGACTTAACAAAGTAACTCATATATCTTTGAAAAAGATGGTTCACCATACATTTGAAAGTGGGAGGTGCATTCATCAATCCAAAAGGTATTACCAAAAACTCATAATGTCTCATATGAGTTTCAAAAGTTGTTTTGGAAATGTCTTCCATAACCATTCTGATCTAGTGTAACCAGACCTCCAGTCCATGTGGGAGAACAATTTTGCTCCTGCTAGCTCATCTATAATAAGGATACAAAACTTATCCTTTATTGTGTTTTGAGCAATCTCAGGAGTACCTTCCTCACTAGAAATATAGCACTGGCCAACTCTTTATGCACACCCATAAGTGCAAGTTGTTTGCCTTGGTTAGTGGAAGACATACTATATTAATGAAAGTCTAGAGATGATAGACCTAAGGTATTCATCCACAAAGCCCTCAAGATTATGTCATACCTACCAATAGCGAAAACTATTAGGTCATAATTCAAAAGTTGTATCGTGCAATATCCATCCATTTTTTACTACTCTTGATGTAATTTCCTTGGAATCTAAGGTTAACATAGATTACTGGAGCAGGAACAACTGTGGGGCCAACCTCTTTTCAATCTCCATATCAATGAAATTAAGAGTACTCCCACCATCAAGTAGAATTTATAGAGGCTTGTTACCACTGTATCACATCATCTGAATAGTTTGAGCTCTGTTAATACCTGCAAGTGCACAATATGAAATCATAGGTGTCTCACCTTCAACTGTTTTCATGTTAGTGTTCTCTGCTGGTTCAATAATAGAAGAAGCTATCACATGTGTTAACTCCTCCGCCATACATTCCTCTAGATCCATCACGAACATATGCTTATGAAGGTTACATTTGTGTCCAGGGCTATACTTTTCATCACAAAAGTAACATAGTCCCTGATCCCTTTTTGCTTTCATCTCAACAGGTGAAATGGTCCTTCTAGATCTAGGATTACCACCATTAGGGGTGTTGGCCATGACCCCTATAGAATTTTGTTGGTAACTGTAGCTGGAAGATCTAGCAGTAGGTCCTTCTTTCCTCACAAGAGGGACTACTTAGATTATTTGTCCTACATCCTCTAGCATTTGCAAATAAAGTTGTCTCAGCCAATCTAGCCAATGTACAAGCCCTATGTAAAGTTTGAGGTTCATGCATTATAACAGTACCCAATAACTCCTTCTTCAGTGCACCCAAAAAAGAGGAAACAACAGAGCTCTAGTTAGGTTACATTGAGTCAAAAACTTTATCAAAGAAGAACTGTAAGTCTCTAGCTGTGCCTATATGTCTTAGTTGTTTCAACTCCAACATGGTATTAGAGAAATCATCCCCAAATGTTTCTTATATAGCTAGTAGATATTCATCCTAATGAATTGGTACAAGAGGGTTTCTGCATTCTTGATAGGACTGATGCCAAGCTAAGGCTTCTATCATCCAAGTTCATGGCAACAAGCTTAATCCTATTAGGCTATATTGCAAAGGTGTTTTTGTAACAGCCCAAAAAATGTACTTGTCTAGTGAACAGC